TTTCAGTTGAAAAGAGGTCTTTAAATTATAGAAGAAAAAAATCACTGAGTTTATAGGTTTAAGGTTTAACATCATACAGATAATTTCTTCAATATCATCTTAACGTTATACATGTTTTTCCAAAATTTACATGCCCAGTTTTGAATTTGGAACAGTTTATTGATTATGTTATGTGGTCGAACTGTATTGTTGTACATGCTTGCTTGACTTTAAACTGATGTTATACTCAATTTCATGATTGATAAAAGGCGTGTTTTTGTATAATACATTTTTTTCGCTCACAATTATTTTAGTATGTAAATTAACTATAGCATATTCATAAAGACAGGGCTGCTGGCAGCCTTCATTTACCTTGTATACATGCATTTATGATATGTTTAAACATATTTGTGGTCCTTTTTCAGCCTTTTACTTGTAAAGTTCTGTGTCCTGTTTAACAACCCTCTTGTTCTGCTTAAATCATATAATGGATTTGTCATGCTTTGAATTTGAAACTGTCCATTATTAATATTAGGGATTTTGATATTGAAATTTTTGATAAATAAAGCAGCAGGTAGTACAGAGCGTGGTCAGACTGCTTAGGTACAATGTATCATTTTATATAGGCTGAAATCTGACCTGATTTTATATTACTGGCAAAAGTCTGTTATCATCAGCACTAGCTTTCAAACATTTTTAAATGTTGTTAAAACTAAAAAAAATGAAGTTATTGCATCAGTTTGTTAGTTAAGGTAACTGTCATTAAATAGAGAAGCATTTAAAAATGTAAAATTTGAATTTTGTTATTAGATCAATGGGGACACTTAAAAAAAAAGCCAAAATATATATAAGAAATATACTCAGATATGACAAAGCTATTTAAGAAATATTTTCAGAATAATTTTAAAATTGTATTTTTATGCTATTTTAGCCCAATTTGAGTGAAAAACATTTCTATGCGTCTCAATATTGGATCATTTTCACAATTACAATTAATAAATTAAATAATTATTCTTGCAAAACAGTGAGCTAATGATATGAACTTTTGCAGACGAGTTATTGGTCTAGACCTACATTAAATGGAACATTAATCTCAAAAATTATTTCTTGTACCGTCTGTCAAAAAACCTCGGTGGAGTCCCTTTAAATTATATAAATAAAGATTTTATTAAGACATATTTAAGGGAAACATAGTTATGCTCAGTAAAAGTTACCCATAGATATGTTTGTGAAGTCTATTGTTTATTTGTTGGGTAGAAATTTATGTTATTGGTCAGTACAGGTCTATTATCATTGTAAACATCTCTTACAAGATTTGTTTAAGTTATAAATATTTCCCAGTTATAGAATTATTTTTCTCCCTGTTGTGTTTTTCTCTCCTATATGTTTATTGACTACGTATGTCTCTGTACTGACCTTTAACCATAACCTTATTAGTTTAAACAGAAACTATTTTAGTTTGGATGTGCAAAATTATATAATTATGCTTATAGACATGTTCTAAAAGTCAACCCCATCCCGCCCACCGCTTAGCTATAATGGAGAGCATCGGATAAGTAATCCAGGGGTCACTGGTTTGATCGTGAGTATTTGTGAAAATTGATCTTGTACATTGTGTGTAATGGTCATTTGTCTCTCACCGTTGATTCAGAAATTAAGTGGAATTAGTATTCGGACACTTTATAAATGATAATGCGGGTAAGATATGCAAGGAAAGCCTGAAAGTTAGATTGTCCACAGAGATATGACCAATATTATCTGTTAAAATTGGTGTAAACCCCAGAACAACATACAAACTTGAACCAACCAGTACTAAGCAATCAGTATAACGTTTCTTCCTCAAGGGAACAACAGATTGCCGAAACAACACGGCGAGCAATCCTTAGATTACTAGTCTGATGCTTAAATCACTCGGACAGAGGAAAATGATATTACCGGTTATATACCCAGAAAAGCCTGTAAGGTGGATTGTCCACAGAGATATGACAAAAAATATCTGTTAAAAATGCTGTAAAAACCAAAACAACATACAAACTGGAACCAACCAGTACTCAAGCAATCAGTATAAAGTTTCTTGCTCAAGGGAACAACAGCTTGCCGAAACCACACGGCCAACAATCCCTCGATTACTAGTCTGAGGCTTAAATCATATTTTATTCATTCCATAAGTAAAATTTTTAAATTTTCATACTTGGACACAAAATACCTTAAAATGACAGATTCATTTTGACTTATTGAGAAACAAATTTGACAGCTTCATTTTGACTAATTCAAATTCAAATTTGACACCTTTATGTCCTTAACATTCAAGGTCATACATGTATTATTAAATTTCAGATATATTTATGTGAACTTTATTCAGTATCTTAACAAATTAAATTTATACTTTGTCACAAGATGTCTCAAGTAAAAACCTTTGACCCTTAAATTACATGACCTTTCAAAGACAGATGTTCAGAATAAAGAAATTCAACTAGCAAATTGTTATTTGTTAACTTTTATTTTATTTTTTTCCAAAAAGTTACTTTAGATTTTTTTCTTACCTGTATAGGGTATAGAACCATTTGTGTTTTACAAGCATATCTTGTGTTATTTTGTGACTTTGCTGTAAAACTGTATAATTGGTAAGTTGATAAACTGTATTCATGTTTTTTATGTATGAATTAATAAAGTGAACAAATGTTTCATTTTTGTTTTTATGCTAACGTATGTTCCAAGCTAAAAAAATTGAGATTTTTTTCTATTTTGTGTTTGATTTAACTGTTCAGTGGTAAGACATTTAATGCACAATCCAATGGTAACATTAAATATAAAAATAATCCAATTTCCATTAATCTCAAAACACAAAGTTAACTTTACCAAAATACCTACTGCAAAATCATATTTGTGGTTTACATGGATAGGTCAATCCATGCATTTAAGATCCAACAAAATTTCACTTGTCAGCTGTAAGATTATTTTGTATCCCACTATTTTCAGTTCACCTTTTGGAAACCTGGTGAGTCCATGAATTTAAGAACACGTGAAAATCATCTTTGTGACAAAACCATGAAATTGCATGCCTATGAAATTTAGTGAATGTACAGTATATCAAAATTGTGTATGGAGGTTCCAAAAAGGTGCTGTAAAAGGCACTTGAAGAAACACGGGCCAAGGGGCCTATATACAGGTGAGCGATTCAGGGCCATCATTGCCCTCTTGTTCACTTAAACCTTTTCATTTCTTAAGGTATCAACTTCAAACTTTAAATATATGTTCCTTATTATCAGCCCCATCTTATGTGTTAATGTTCAGAACTCTTGCACAAATATTACAAGAATAATCTCCCCTTGAACTTAGAATTTTCCTTTAAAATATAATTTTTTACTCTACCTTTTTCATTTCTTAAGGTATCAACTTCAAACTTCAAATATATGTTCCTTATCATCAACCACATCTTTTGAGATAAGGTCCATAACTCTAGCACTAATATTTTCAGATTTATCTCCCCTTGAACTAAGAATTTTCCTTAAAAATATTACTTTTTACTGTTTCTTTATTTCTAAAGGGATCAACTTTATACTTCAAATATATGCTCTTATCATAAACCACATCTTATGTGACAAGATTCATAACTCTAGCACTAATATTGCAAGAATTATCTCTCCATTAACATGGATTCTTTCCTTGAAAAATGCTATTGTTTACCATTACTTCTTTAGTTTTAAAGATATCTACATCAAACTTCAAATACATATTCCTTATAATCAACCAGATCTTATGTGACAAGGTTCATATCTCTTGAAGGGGCTCCTCAGTTTTATATTAAAGTATATACAAAAATCTTAAAAAAATCTTCTTGTCAAAATCCACAAGAGCCTTGCTATTTGGTACGTAAAATGATCTAGTGGTCCTCTACAAGATTGTTCAAATAATGCCCCTAGGATGATAATGGGCCAAGGGGGCTTATGGATTTCTAGCTCACCAATGTCAAAGAGTAACATTTTAGGTGAGCTTTTGTGGTCGTCCGTCGTCTGTTTCGTCTGTTTTACTGTTTCAATGCATAAAGTTATATTGTAAGTGACTTGTATTTAGTTTCAAATGACAACCAAATAATGGTGATAATTAAACCTGGTTTTCATGGCGTTGCCATGTTTTTTGTTATTCATTATTGCTCCATGTTCTTTTCTTTTTAACAGATTTATCTTTCAGATATCTTTGTCACCCAGACTGTATTCAAATAAACAGTGTAATTTCAAGTCTTCGTATAAATAAAACAATTCTTCATTTACTTGTAGTCTTTGTTATTCTCTTACAGTTTTACACATTGGCCACAATATTTTGTGAGATGCATTTTTGCGATGTTATTGACGCTTTTAAACCAATTCTAATAGATATTAATTTTATCAACATATATATCTCAAAAAGTCATATAGGTTCAAAAAAATAAGTCACCCGGTCAGATCTTGGGGGGAAAGCTTTGTAAAACAGAAATCACCTTTTACCCAGTTCATTTGAAACAAAGAATGTTTGTCTTCACAAACTGTAAATATACACCAAGTTTCAGGTGAGCGACCCAGGGCCCAATGACCCTCTTGTTTTATTTTTTATGCTATTTTAGAATCAGTAGCAATTATTTCTAATAAGAATCACATTTTGCAAACTTGGTTATCACTTGTTCAAAGTAATTTTGCACTGGTTCATACAATATCACTTTTCCACCCTGAATGTAAAGTTGTTTTATTAAATACTGAATACATTTCATCAAAACAACCTTTTGCTTTTTTCCTCTATTTAGTTTAAGTTACAATTTTTCCTATTTCTGTTCGAGAGTAAGATAATTCAACCTGAAATGTTAACTTTTTGGTCGATTTGACTAGTATACCTATGTAATCTTAGATAAATATTGACCGTAGGTGTCATACAGACATGTTAATACATGTATATCTATGTCGCAGTCCAAAAGATAAGGGGGTTTCTGATGGACGCTGTGGGTTAAAGTACTTGGGACCTGGACAGAGGGTCTGTAAATACACAAATGATGCGCTTTCAAATAACTTTAATAGCAATCAAAAATCGCGGCTCTCGCCATCAAAATCTTTCAAAATAGTGCAAAATACAAAATATCAATGAAAATGATGAATGACAAAATGGAAAGAATGAATTAGAGCATCAAAACAATCTACCAATTTACCTGTAAATACACAAATGATGCGCTTTCAAATAACTTTAATAGCAATCAAAAATCGCGGCTCTCGCCATCAAAATCTTTCAAAATAGTGCAAAATACAAAATATCAATGAAAATGATGAATGGCAAAATGGAAAGAATGAATTAGAGCATCAAAACAATCTACCAATTTACCTGTAAATACACAAATGATGCGCTTTCAAATAACTTTAACAGCAATCAAAAATCGCGGCTCTCGCCATCAAAATCTTTCAAAATAGTGCGCATGCGTAGTGTAGTGAATCAATGAAGTAGAAAGTATATGATCAATATGGGGATGAATGAAAAGTATGATGAAAATTAAAGCTATAGGACATTTAATAGGACAAGCAATAACACATACAAACATGTACCGTACTACGTATATGAACCTGTGACATCTAAATACTGCGATTATGTAATTATCTAATTTTTAAGATACCGGTATGCACTTGGGACATTTGTGAAAGGTTCTTATCATTTTTACTTTGAAGAAATAAACAAAAAACAATCAGTGTTGGGAAACTAAAACTTAAGGGAGGCAAGTTGAAGTTGAGCTGGACTTGTCTTTTTACAAGTTTATTTGAGAAATTTGTTTCTCTATAATCACTGAAAAACAGTTGTAATCACTGAAAAACAGTTGTTCCTGGTGAGCGATTCAGGGCTATCTTGGCTTTCTTGTATGAACTTAACTTTATGCATTCTGGGGTTAAGGCAATGGCGAAAGAGGATTTATCAATAGAATTTTATTTTTTTCACGCACAGAAGTATAAAAAAGCCATTAAATGAAAATGAATATTACACTAGTGTAACGACAATTTAACATGACATATTGTGTTATTCAAACATCAAAATAGGCTAAATATTAAAATTACACTATACATGCATCAATGAAAAGAATGACCTTTTTACTGTATATCATTCTTTTTTTGGGTTTGTAATAAATAACAATCAATCAATTGTATTCAACTTGCTAATTGAAACAATATTCATAATGCTCGCCAAATACTCTCATGATATTTCTTGTAATATAACAAAAACATTTAAACCAGATGCATTCAAAAATGGGAACTCCAAAAGAAATTATTACCTATAATAAATAAGACATGTTATACTCCTTGCATACATTTTGAGAGTAAGGCATATATAAAAAATGTTTATTTTTCTTTTCTGAATCATTTGTTTTACTGATTAGATGTCATACACTTCAATGTTGTTATCTGAAAGTCTAAATATACACATCTTTGTCATTTGTTGATTACAACAAACTGATGTAATGCCCTTTTTTCTGCTATCATCTTTTATAACCTCTCCTATCAGCGCACCATCACATGTAAACTGTAAAACATTATTGGATTTGAATCCAGATACCAGCACACTTCCTGCTTTAGTAAGATAACAACAGTTAGCCCCCTTTAATTGTTCATCATCATAAAATGATGTAATTACCTGACCATTGTTGTCCAGTACTATCAGTCCATTAAAGTAGTCAGCAACATAAATCCTAGTAGCATCCTTACTGACAGCTAGACTAAATATTTTAGAAAACAACTTATGTCCTGATTGATCCTTACTAAACTGATTGAGTTTCCTACCAGACAATGTATACATATAAACTGATGTGTATAAATCTGAAATATATAAGTTATTGTTTGCATATGCAACACCGACACATGTAAAATCAGTGTTTATCTTGTTTGTTGTTCTCATTTTTCTCTCAAGAGAAATGAAATGAACTCCCTGTTGTGATATCAAAGTTACTGCTACTTGTGTGTTACTGATCATACACACTTGCCATGGCTTTCCAGGTAGATCACAGTAGTCTGTGACAGTATAGTTATAACTGTGTAAACGTTTAAGCTCGCTGTTGTAGTTATCTGCTAGAAGTATTGTACCATCATCCATACAGCAGGCACTGGTGACATAACAATCGTTTTTATCTGACTTAACTTTAACATTATATGATTGATTTCCTTTAATCTGAAATAAATTGACAGCAGTCTTTGTAGGTTTCTCTGATAGTGTGCCTAGGGTCTTCTTTTGTTCTAACTGTGTAAGAATTGTTCTGTCAGGTTGAAACTCTATGTCTTCTACTGTACTTTTTATTTTGGCATGCTCCATATATTTGTTGGCAACATTTGCAGCATCTTCTCCCATCTTCACATAAACAAACACTTCAGAATGATTTGTGTTTGTAGATGCTAACTTATCATTAGCTGATTTAATCCTGGACTTGTTTGCTTGTAGCTGTTTTAAACTGTCTTCGATTTTGTCTTCAAGACATTTGACTCTACTTTCTATCTCATCAATAGAACTTTTCTCCAGCTTGTCAAGTTGGCCATTGATTTCTTGTCGGAATTTTCTGATATCAGCCAGAAACTCTGCTTTCCTCTTTAACAGCCTTTGTTTATCTTGTTTAAATCTATCAGCTTGTTTTTCAAGGGTCTTGGCTATTTCCTTGAGTTTTGTTTGAATGTCTCTCGATTCAACTTGGTAAGTATTGTTTTGGATAAATTCTGGTATGTAGAATGTATCCTTACATAATCTGAAAAATAAGTTCAGACAGTTTATGAGGCTATGAGGTGATGGATGTTAATATATTATTTACTGTTATATATTGAAAATTGAATATTATGTAAAATGCCTTACTAAACATTCCATATACTTTTTACTCAAAAATATCTTTGTTTAAATACTATAGTTTACCTGTGATCAACTGCCATACATGTAGAACAGCCAACATTATCATGGTTCTGACAGTACATATCAATGTGTTTATGACTGTGTCTGTCACATCTCTCTGCTGGTGCCCTCGACAGACCTTTACTGGTTCCTGACTTAACTTGAGATTTATCCAACACCTTGTGACCAGCTAATACAGGCACTTTACTGTGAACTTTGACACAACTAACACAGAAATAATCGTTACAATCAACACAGTATTTTTCACCTTCAGTGTTTCTGCCTTCATTTCTACACATTGAACATAATACATCAAATATTTCATCCGAAAGAATATCCGTATCAATTTGTCGACCTGTAGCCATTTTGTCTTTTTCCCAACTAGGTTTTTAGTTGATCTTTTTACATTGTAAAATCGATAAAAATGGTCTCTATTTCTTTCACAGTTATTTTAAATTTTAAACATTGATGTACTCTATAATAGTGATAACTGTAAGCCTTAAGTATCTTCTACATTGTACCTCTGGGAAAATATCAATTTCTACATTATAATTTTTTCATTGATATAAATCCTCTCCTTTCGCTAAATAATGTTAAAATGATTTGACCAACTTTGAGTTAAATTTATCAAAGGAACCTTTATGCCTCTTTGCACAAGTCTAACTTTATCTGTGTAATATGATCTACCCAATACTTAATTATTAAACTTTAAGGTATATAAAGACTATTTACATAGGGCTGGTTTAACATTATGGTACAGAAATCAATATAACCCGGTAGACGATATCTAACCTTAGATAATGAAATGAATAAAAAAATAACGAACTTTATCTTGGCATAGCAACAGTTGTGTATAGTCTGATTTTATTGACCTGTCAATTATGAATACATTAAAGCACTCATTTAAATATTCGATCCCACTTCGGTTGTGTCCGTTTATTTACGAGAATTAATATGGGGAATATATAAATAAGGTTTGGAAATATGGCTTCTCGTAACATCCGTAATAGCGCAGTCGGTTAAGTGATTACCTAATGCATGACAAGTCCATGGTTCGATGCCTTCTTCTGACATTCTTTTTAGACTTATTCTTTCTTAATTTTTAAGTTTATTTTAATGAAAATGGCCAAGCGCTTGCTAAATTGTCTACACGGATAAGAAACAACTAAATTACACTGAATTGTCACATTTTGTAAAGTATTTACGGCACTGAAATTACATTTATTGATTTAAATCCGAATGAATTTTCAGTATTAATTCTTAAACAGTGTTATATACAAAAGTATAGTATTTACAAAAAAGTGCAAAACATATTAAAAACAGAACAACCATAACTTCAAAAATGTTGAAAATAGTTATGAATAAGAAAAAAACCTGGACATACTCTGTTTCGATCTGACAACGCGTTGGACATTCAGATAAACTATCCCCGTAGTTCACCCTATTGCGCTATAACGGTCAATGTAACTAAATCATAGAAAATAGACGTAATTAATCACATCTTACTGCGTTCTTCTCACGGAATTTACTGAACATTTATCGAATATTAATATATTCTGTGCATTGACCGTATAATCAGTATGAAATTGACAGGTTAATAAAATCAAACAATACATTTAATTATTAGTCCTTTGTTGTTGTATTAAGGACACTCTAAAAAATGAGCTGGTGTAATATAAAAATTATTTATTTGTCAGAATTCAATTCATTGGCTTTGATTGGTTATGAGTATTTTTGCCATTTTAAATAGGACTTATGTGAGGGTTTGTCCATTAAAAGTTCTAATTAGACCTCATTATCAAAGGAAGACTCATACGAATATAGGAAAGAGTACAAAATCACCTCTTTAAATTCAGATTTTAGAAATAATGCAAGTTAAAATCTTAAAGTACATGTACTTGTATTTTATATATTGAAAATACATTGTATACTGGTTTCCTAGCAGTTTCCAATACAAAAAGTTGCCCTTTTTAGCTCACCTGAGCTAGGTCAGGTTGAGCTTTTAGGATTGTTGAATGTCCATCGTCCATCCACATTTATTCGTTAACATTCTAGTGGTCACATTTTTGCTTCAATCATTATCAAACTTGGTCAGGATGCTTGTCTAGGTATTTGCTCAAATGAGTTCGAACATGGGCCATCTCAGATGAAAAACTTAAAGTTCACAGGAGGAAAAAATAGAAAAATCTTGTGAGCACTTTTGCTCGGGTGAGCTTGATTGGTCAGGTGAGCAATCTAGGGTCATCTTGGCCCTCTTGTTTTTCCAAAATTTCATTTTGTTATTTCTAAGAATTGTAGAAAATTGTTGGAGTTTTGGTAATTTGTCAGATTTTTTGGTAATTTGTTAGATTATGGTGATTTGTGGTAATTTGATGGTTATTTGTTAGATTAAAGGTAATTTGTTGGATTTGTGTTGGTTTTTTAGTTCATCTGAGCACAAAGTGCTCAAGGGTGAGCTTTTGTCATCACTCTGCGTGCATCGTGCGTCCGTGCGTCATGCGTCCTTCAAAAAATGGCGTCAAACTTTTCAAACAACATCTCCTCCTAAACCACATGGCCAATTGCAACCAAACTTTACAGAAATGATCCTTAGGTGAACCCCTTTCAAAGTTGTTCAAAAATTTAAATTCCATTAAAAACTCTGGTTGCCATGGCAACCAATAGGAAAAACTTAAAAAATCTTCTTTTAAAAAACCCAAAGAGCTAGAGCTTAGATAATTGGCATGAAACATCTTCTAATGAGTGTCTACCAAGTTTGTTCAAATAAAAGCCCTGGGGTCAAAATTGGCCCCGCCCCAGGGGGTCTTTGATTTTCCCTATATGCATATAGTAAAAACTTTAAAAATCTTCTTTTAAAGAGCTCAAAGAGCTAGAGCTAAGATATTTAGCATGAAACATGTTCTAATGGGTGTCTACCAAGTTTGTTCAAATAAAAGCCCTGGGGTCAAAATTGGCCCCGCCCATGGGGTCATTGATTTTCCTTATATGACAGTGTATAGCAAAAACTTAAAAATCTTTTTTGAAAAAACCCAGATAGGTAGAGTTTAGATATTAAGCATGAAACATCTTCTAGTGAGTGTCTACCAAGTTTTTTCAAATAAAAGCCCTGGGGTCAAAATTAGCCCTGCCGCCCCAGGGTGTCTTTGATTTTCCCTAAATGCATATAGTTAAAACTTAAAAAATCTTCTTTTAAAGAACCCAAAGAGCTGGAGTTAAGATATTAAACATGAAAGTGAGTGTCTACAAAGTTCGTTCAAACAAAATCCATGGGGTCAAAATTGGCCCCACCCCGGGGGTCATTGATTTTCCTTATATGTGTATAGCAAAAACTTAAAAATCTTCTTTGAAAAAAACCCATATAGCTACAGTTTAGATATTAAGCTTGAAACATCTTCTAGTGAGTGTCTACCAAGTTTAACAGATAAAAGCCCTGCCGTCAAAATTGGCCCCGCCCCAGAGGGTCTTTGATTTTCCCTATATGCATATAGGTAAAAACTTAAAAAATCTTCTTTTAAAGAATCCAAAGAGCTAGAGCTAAGATATTTAGCATGAAACATCTTCTAATGAGTGTCTACCAAGTTTGTTCAAATAAAAGCCCTGGGGTCAAAATTGGCCCTGCCCCAGGGAGTCATTGATTTTCCCTATATGCATATAGTAAAAGCTTAAAAAATCTTCTTTGAAAGAACTCAAAGAGCTAGAGCTAAGATATTTAGCATGAAACATTTTCTAATGAGTGTCTACCAAGTTTGTTCAAATTAAAGCCCTGGGGTCAAAATTGGCCCCGCCCGGGGGTCATAGATTTTCCTTATATGTGTATAGCAAAAACTTAAAAAATCTTTTTTGAAAAAACCCAAATAGCTGGAGTTTAGATATTAAGCATGAAACATCTTCTAGTGAGTGTCTACAAAGTTTGTTCAAATAAAAGCCCTGAGGTCAAAACTGGCCCCGCCCCGGGTGTCATTGATTTTCCTTATATGTGTATAGCAAAAACTTAAAATCTTCTTTGAAAAAACCCAAATAGCTGGAGTTTAGATATTAAGCATGATACATCTCCTAGTGAGTGTCTACAAAAGTTTTTCAAATAAAAGCCTTGGGGTCAAAACTGGCCCCGTCCCAGGGGTGTCATTGTTTTTAACTATATGTGTATAACAATAACTTAAAAAATCTTCTTTTAAAAAACCCAATGAGCTAGAGCTTAGATGTTAAGCATGAAACATCTTCTTATTGGTGTCTACCAAGTTTGTTCAAATAACAGCCCCTGGATTAAAATTGGCCCTGACAGGGGGTGGGGGGGAGTAGATCATTTTTTTTCTTTGTATGTGTGTAGTAAAAACTTAACATCATGAAACATCTTCTAATGGGTGTCTTCTAAGTTTGTTCAAATAAAAGCCCTGGGGTTTAAACTGGCCCCGCTCCGGCGCCTTTATACAGGTGAGCGACCTCAGGGCCATCATGGCCCTCTTGTTTATGTATTAGGATTTGGATGATTTATTCTTGATTGATTGGAATTTGTTTTATTTAATATGGGATATTATCATACACCCGCGCCTCTCTTTTGCGACTTAGTAAAAGTGGTATTGCACGGGCGTGCATATATTTTGATGTGACATCATTTTTGTTATACAAACATATCTTAAAGACTAGCTTAATGTAAGCGTTATTCTATAGACACCTCAATGAAAAATGAATCTGTTTGATTTTAAACAGATTTTATATTCCTTAAAGAATATTATATTTCTGTATATTCATTACAGAATTTATTAAACTTGTTAAATAAAATAATATTAAGCTTGCCAGCAGCTTGCATAATATAATTTTTTTCACCTTGTTCAATAAATTCAGTATTGAACCTACACTCATTCAATATCCTCTATCTATTTAATTTATGTTTATTTATTTATTTGATTTTTAGGGATTTTTTAAAGTATTAATTGGGATTTATTAGATTAATTGATTAATTGGGTTTTGTTTGATTTATGGGTTTTTTTGATTGTGCAGATTTGTTTGATAATTAGGATTTATCACTTAAACTGCATTTTAATTACCCCAATTAGTAATAAAAATGATATTACACTAGTGACATCATTTGCAAAATATGCAACCATTGTGTGTAAGCGCGCTGAAATTGGCATACTGGTAACAGGACAAATGGCTCTTTTTAACTATAAACCATATTTATTTTATATATGTAATAAAAAGAATATTTGTATTTATGTAGATTCAATACTAAATTTTTTGAACTTTGATGGCCATTTGTTGCATTTTGCGTTGTTTTATAATTTGTATAGAAATAGTAGCATAAATGCTTGACAACATTTGCTTCAATTTTACTGAAAACAATTTCACAGAGTGATTCCCAATTTATTTATTTCAGGTTGTTGTCACATGTGAATGACCCGGATATTGATTCTCCGACCCCGCGGCAGTATGTACTCTACCTGTGCCCAGTCGGCCCGCTGCAGGAACAGATGATGAAATTTTACAATGACTCTTTGAAAACATGTGGCTGGAACGGATCACACTCTTACTTCCCTCATATCACTCTATGTCCTTTCTTCAATGTAAGTCACTTATAGTGATCATTA